CCTTTAGTGGGAGATCAGATAGGAGGCCCTTTGATCGAGATGGCACCCAACCTAAGATAAAATAATGTAGTGAATTTTAAGCCTAGGAAATCGCTAGCTTGCTTCTTATACAAGGGGTCGCATTGGGTGGCTGAATGCCCACACAGAGGAGCCCTTAATGCCTTAAGAGCCTTATCTTAAAAGTTCGTAAAAGCACTAAAGACAGTCGAGGAAGTTAAAGATGAGCCAGCCATAATGGGTTCAATAAGGTTCTTCAATGCCCTCTGTACCTAACTAAACACGATAAAGAAAAAACAGGATAGATGCCTGATGTATGTGGACCTAATACTCAACGAAAAGACCACCATGGCCATGGTAGACACGGGTGTAACCGACACCTTCATCACATCAGATGAGACAAAAATGTGTGCTCTCAATGTCAGTAAGGACTGTGGGTAAATGAAAGCGGTTAATTCGCCAGCCTTTGCGATCAGTGGAAACTCCAAAAGTGTAATGACCAAGTTAGGGCCATGGGAAGGGAAGGTAGACTTTATAGTTACCCCCATGGATGACTTTGATGTTGTTATCAGATTAAACTTCATGATGTTGGCTCAGGTGATCCCAATCCTCGCCGTTAGTTGCCTATTGTTCTTAGAGGAACACCTATGTGTGGTGCCGACCACTATTTATCAAAAAATGGGAAGAAAAAGATTTCAGCTTTACAATTCAAGATAGAGGTAAAGAGAGGGAAACTCTCTTTTGTGGCCATGCCGATTTACAAAAAAGAGATGGAGTTGAAACCGATACCCGATGGGGTGAAACAAGTGTTGAAAAGTTTAAAGATGTGATGCCAAGAAAATTGCCTAAGGTCTTACCCCTTCAAAGATCGGTGGACCATGAAATCAAGGTCCTCCCAGGAGTCAAACCCCTTGCTAGAGCCCCTTATCGCATGGCCCCACCAGAGTTGGCTGAACTAAGGAAACAATTAGGTGAGCTTTTATAGGTCGGGTTCATTAGGCCATCAAAGGTACCCTTTGGAGCACCTGTGCTATTCCAAAAAAAGCATAATGAAAGTTTACGGTTATGTATAGACTACAGGACCGTGAACAAAGTCACCGTGAGAAACAAATATCCCATCCCTCTTATTGCAGATTTGTTCGATCAACTAAGTCGAGCCAAGACTTTTCCAAATTGGACTTAAGATCTAACTATCATTAGGTCAGAATTGCAGAGGGAGATGAGCCAAAAATCACTTGTGTAATGCGGTATGGTGTATTTGAATTTTTTGTTATGCCTTTTAGACTAACTAATCCTCCTACCACATTTTGTACATTGATGAATCTGGTGTTCCATGACTATCTTGACAAATTTATGGTCATCTATTTATATGACATAGTGGTATATAGCTCTACTTTGGAAGAGCATCAAGAACACTTGCGCCTTATGCTTCAAAGATTACAAGACCACCAATTGTATGTGAAAAGGGAGAAATGTGCATTTGTCCAGACCCAAATCCACTTTTTAGGTCACTTTATCGAACGTGACCATATACAAATGGACATGAAAAAGGTTAGGGCCATCAAGGAATGGACAATACCGAAGAATGTTAGTGAACTTCACTTATTTTTGGGATTAGCCAATTATTACAAAAAATTTGTAGAAGGGTACTATCGCAAGACTACGGCCCTAACGAAGCTATTGAAAAAAGAGCATAAATGGTGTTGGACAAGCGAGTGTCAAGAGACCTTTGAGGGATTAAAAAAAGCCATTATGAAGGACCTTGTCTTAGCTCTCCCTAACATTGAGAAGCCTTTTGAAGTTCAAATATATGCATCTGATTTCGTTATTGGGAGAGTGCTTTTATAAGAACGTCACCTAATAGCATTTGAAAGTAGAAAGCTAAGCGAAGCTGAGAGAAAATATACAGCCCAAAAAAAAGAACTATTGGCGATAATTCATTATCTGAGGACTTGAAGACATTATTTGTTGGGTTCACACTTTGTCGTGAAGACGGACAATGCAGCAGTTAGCCATTTTCTCACCCAACCAAAGCTCACAGCGAAGCAAGCTAGATAGAAAGAATTTTTAGCTAAGTTTGACTTTTGTTTTGAGCACACCACTGAAAAAACCAATCAAGTGGTCGATACATTGAGCAGATGAGCAGAGTTAACGACCCTTAGAAGAATTACCCCGATGTTGGCTAGAAAAGTTAGGACAGACGTTCACAAATTGATTGAAGATAATTTAGGAAAGAACTCGCAGGCTAGTGTTATCCTGAAGTTAGTTGAAAAAGGGAAGTCTAAGTATTTTTGGTGGGAGAATGTGGTCTTGTGGACAAAGGGCCCTTGATTGTTTGTGCCAAAGGTAGGGGTCTGAGGCAGATGTTGATGAGGGAATGCCATGACACACCATGGGCAGGACATCCGGGTTGGCAATGCATTTTGGCTCTGTTGAAAAAGAGATATTATTGGCCTTACATGCAGCAAGATGTGATGGACTATACAAAGACTTACCTCATTTGCCAACAAGACAAAGTTGAAAAAAAGAAACTTGTAGGCATGCTTGAACCACTACCAGTGCCCGCTAGACCGTAGGAAAGTTTTTTTCTTGACTTTATTTTGGGCCTTCCCAAAGTTGGCGATCTTAGGGCTATTTTGGTGGTGATTAATCGTTTCTCAAAGTATGCCACATTCATTATCACCTAAAAGTATTATACTGCGGAAGACATAGCTCGACTACTGTTCAACATGCGATTAAATATTGGGGCCTTCCTTCAAAACATTGTAAGCGACAGGGATCCAAGATTTACAGGGTCCTTTTGGAGAGAACTTTTCAAGATATTGGGGTCTCAACTCAACATCTCTTCAAGCTACCATCCCCAAACCGATGGCCAAACTGAACAATTCATTGGGTTGCTGAAGGAATACTTAAGGCATTTTGTTCAAGCCAATTAGAAGGATTGACTTTCGTTATTAGACGTTGCTCAGCTTTGTTTTAATTCCAACAAGAGCTCTTCCACTAACAAAAGTCTGTTTGAGGTGGTTATTGGACAACTGCAAAGGCTACCCCATAGTCTCTGGAGCAATATAGAAGGAATAATCCACGAGCCTTTAACCTCGACAAAGAATGAAACAAAACACAGAGATTGCATAAGCTTATCTGGAAAAAGCGTTGAAGCGAATGAAGAAATAGGTAGACAAAGGTCGCAGGGTGCAACAATTCCAAGTTGGTGATTTAGTTCTTGTTCGACTAGTCCCTAAACAAATCAGGTTTTTGAAGAAACGAGATCGTAATTGGTGCGTAAATATGAGGGTCCAGTAAAGATCCTCTCTAAGGTGGGGAACATTTCTTATAAAACTGACCCATCAAAGTGGATGAAGGCGCACCCAGTATTTCACATGAGCAACCTAAAACCTTTTCATGCAAACCCTATAGATGCTAGTCGCAGGGAGTTAACCAGGGCCGTCATCACCATGAAGCCACTCTCAGAACATCGGGTTGAAGAGATCCTAGCTGACAGGGAAACCAAGGTATCTCGAAGACTAGTCCGTGAATACTTAGTGCAGTGGGAGGGATTAGGACCAGAAGAAACTAGTTGTAAAAGAAACCATGACCTTTGAGCATTCAAGAGGAAGATTGAAGAATTTCAAGCCAGCAAGTCGATGAAAACGTCGATAAAATAGGTGGAAGAGGATGTCATGAGCCAACCTTGTATAGGGCCATGACCGGGCTTAGGTTGTCATAAGCCACCCATGAATAAGGCCATGATCGGGTAGAGGTGCCAAGGGGGGAGGGTAGATCTTTTGTGCTAAGAAAAGTGTCTCCATTTCAAACATTGTAATGGTTAATGATAGCATAGGTCTAAAATCTCGTTTGCTCTTTAGAGGGGGTGAGCAGTCGACGTATTATTGGGCTGCCTCACTGATTAAGGTATGTGCTAGGCCACCCGTTAAGGGTTGCCCCTTTGGTCTCGACGATGGTCGAAAGTCTCGATGTACTATTCTTGATATTAATAAAATATTTTTTTTATTCGAAAATCTTGAATGTTGCCCCGATGTGCTTTCCTTTCTCCCGATATGAATATGTTTACTTGTGTATGCTTGAGATTAACTTGTGGCTTATTATTATCTATTCAGATATCAAGTTATCTTAGGCTAACTTGAATTAAAACATCCATTTAAGTGCCACACGATCTATTGTTTCATTGAAAGAAAGCTTAGCGTGACACATAGCCCGTGATTTCAAGCTCAGGTCCAAGCCTGATGACAACACCAACTTCTTTGCCTCTTGTCATGGATTCCTTAATGTGCTTCGAATTGCAATCAAAGTCCATTGCCCATTGGTTCAAATTACAGGTGGCTACTTTCGACAGCCTCGTCTTCCAAAAAGAAAACAGTTTTCAGTTCACTGAAAATCACTTGAAAAACAAATTTAAAAGAATAGAAGAAATGACTGAAGACTCGAAATATGAGGTAGGTGTTTTCGATAGGACAGAGAACTGGCGGCCTTGTGTTTGGAATTGTATTTGCGTTAACGGGTTCCAGGCTCCAGTATCCTTGGACGGGTTACACTGCTTTTTTCCGGTTTTTACACGTATAACTACAAGAGGTAATAATAAAAAGTTAAAAAATGCGTCGGTTGACTGGTGTTAATCTGGAATCAAGTTTCTTTTTCTTTTTTTCATTTTCTTTTGAAGTATTTGAGGGAAATAAATGAAAATTCTTAAAAAATTTAAGGGAAGGGAATAAAAAACATTTATATATTTTAAATTTTTTATAAAACATATCTTTTATTTCTAAAAAATTACAAAGTTTAAAATTTGATAATTTAAATATAACAAAATAGCACATATGACAACAACAAAAAATATAAAAATAACATAATTTAAAATTAATAAAAATATATAAATTTTAAAAAATCGAAAAATATATTTTATATTTTACTAATAGATGCAAATTTTAAAATAATAATTTTTACATTTTATATATTTAATATTAAATAAATATATAAAAAATTTTAGTGGCTCGTCGAATTCTCCTTAACCTAAAACAATTTTTTTTTTTAATATAAAAAACAAAGGTATTCGGAAAGAGGAAAAAAGAAGGGTAGATAACTACATATATTCTGTATACGCCGTCGTTAAACACCAGCAAAACCCATCTCCGATATCTCTCGTCTCATCTGTTGGCAGCCAAACGCGATCGATATAAATCAAGAAAGAGCCTTCGTTTTCCTTCCAATTTCCTGTCGTCGTTCGATTCTTTAAACAAATTAAAAAAGAAAGAGAGAGTAAAGGAAAGGGAAAGAAGAAAAGATTGAAAATTGCCATGACTGAAGTGGCGAGCTCAGTGGTGCACGAGGTGTTAGGCCGTAGAGTGGAAGATGTGGATCAGCCAATCATTGATTACATCATCAATGTCCTCGCCGACGAAGATTTCGATTTCGGAGAAGACGGCGACGGCGCCTTCGAGGCCATCGGCGAGCTCCTCGTCGCCGCCGAATGTGTCTCTGATTTCTTCGAGTGCCGCCAGGTAACTTTTTCCATCTTTCATGATTCCATAATTACATGGATAATTGTTTAAAAGCAGAATTGTTTGTGGCAGTTTTGTGATTTTGATGTGGAATTTATGGTAGGTTTGTAGTAAACTATCTGAGAAATTTGGAAAGCATGGGTTGGTTAAACCTAAGCCAACTGTTCGGAGTTTAGCAACGCCATTTAGGATGAATGAAGGTATGGAGGAGGAGGCTCCGAAGAAAAAGGCAGAGCCGATTGATGGTCCGTTATTGTCTGAACGCGATAAAATGAAGCTCGAAAGGAGGAAGAGAAAGGAGGAGCGTCAAAGAGAGGTATAACTAGTCAATATCAATTATTAATGCACTTGTATTTGTAATGTTAGATGATGTTGATTGCTCTTATATTCAAGCTGCATTAATGTGGAACAACTGAGAAACTATTTAGTTATGGTACTTGTGTTGTACAGGCGCAATACCAAATGCATTTAGCAGAGATGGAAGCAGCTAGGGAAGGGATGCCTGCTGTTTGTGTGAATCATGATGCTGGTGGTGGGCCGGCTGTTAGGGATATTCATATGGAGAACTTCAATGTTTCTGTTGGTGGTCGTGATCTCATTGTTGATGGTTCAGTTACACTTTCTTTTGGAAGGCATTACGGTAGGTTAGGTTCCTTATTTAACCTACATAGGATATGAAGATGCTTATGGGATTACAGTGTTTTAAGTTTCTTGGCTCTCATGCCAAGAAAAGGGTAAAGAAAATTAACTTTATGAAGATGCATAGGAGATAGTGTTCCCTTAATAGATGCCTTGTTGATTTCTTCTTGTACCATTCTTGTTGGTTTGTTTCTAATCTATTATGTCATTCTCTCTGCAGGTCTTGTGGGCAGAAATGGTACAGGGAAGACTACATTCCTTAGGTACATGGCTATGCATGCTATTGATGGAATTCCTCCAAACTGCCAGATCCTACATGTCGAGCAAGAAGTAGTTGGTGATGATACAACACCCTTGCAGTGTGTTCTTAACTCTGATATTGAAAGAACCCAGCTTTTGCAAGAGGAGGCTCAGTTACTTTCTCAGCAGGTTGAAAAACAATTAGCCTTTTATCTAAGAAAGCAATGAATCTTTGTATTGATTCACATCCATTTAATGTTTATGTCCTTTTCTGGTGATCCTTTTGATAAATTTATTGTTTTTCTTAAGAGAGAATTGGATCTTGAAGATGAAAAGGGAAAGAGTGGAGGAGATCTAAATGGGGTGCCTGATAAAGATGCCATCTTGCAAAGACTCGAACAGATATACAAAAGGCTTGAGGTCATTGATGCAGATTCAGCAGAGTCTCGTGCGGCTTCTATTCTTGCGGTATGTTCTCGAATTATGTATTTGGGTGGTGACTAAAAAGTGCCTGCTTGATTAAAGATCAAATAATTGGCAATGAAAATGAGAAAATAAGTCAAAATTGAAAAAAAATAAAAGGAAACGGAGGAAGAAAAAACTTAATTTGATTTAAAGGAGGCAGGTTGCTCACTTGTGTGCTAACCTCCTAATATCATGGCAGGGAAAGTTACTGCTACAAGACAAAGCATGATAAAGACTTAGGATGGGTTTCAAAATTCAAATCACTCAAGTTAGAAAATTTCTAGAATAAGGTTCCATTTGTTTCTTGGAAAATGATTTCCGCATTTTCAGGTATTTGTTTTGCAGAAAACTGGTCAATCAACGGAAAATGACTTACTGGTCAATGGGAAATGAGGTCATTTTTTTTTTAAATTGTCTTACGAATTTGGAAAGGGGAAGACCTTTTTTGGAAAAGAGTTGTTTATAAGTAGAATTATTTATTAATATTTTTTAGAATAATTTTACTTATAAATAATATTATATTAATAAATAATATATTATATTAATAAATAACATAATAATAAATATTATTAATTTAATTAATAAATATTATAATAATATATTATTAATAAATAACATACTATTAATATAATAAATTAATAAATATTATTAATAAATAATATTATAATATATTAATAAGTAATATAAAGAATAATAAATAGTTTTATTTTAAGTATTTTTATATTAACATAATATTTTAATAATAAATAATTTTTAATATTTTAATAGTTATATTAATATTATTTGAAAAAAAAAATTTCTAGAAAACAACTAAACAACAAAAAATATTTTTTATTAACTCATTCAAACAACAAAAAATCTCTTTCAATTCAGAAAATATAATCATTTTTCAGAAATCATTTTTTGAAAGTCATTTTCTACGAAACAAACGGAGGCTTAGTTGTGTATTTGCTTTCTTGATCCTTGTTAACTATACTCATATAGTATGTAAATAAAAGAATACATGTCATGCTAGTTAAGTTACTTTAATTTGTTATTGCATCTCTTTATTCATATAAATTCTAATCACTGGCTTAAAATATTTCCAGGGTCTCAGTTTCTCTCCAGAAATGCAGCAGAAGGCAACGAAAACATTTTCTGGAGGATGGAGAATGCGAATTGCTCTAGCCCGTGCACTGTTTATAGAGCCTGATTTGTTGCTGCTTGATGAACCTACTGTAAGTTATATGTTTTATGTTGCTTCATGGCATGTATTATTTTTCAGAACCTGGTAGTATTTAATTTTTATATTATTTGCAGAACCATCTTGATCTTCATGCTGTCCTATGGCTGGAATCTTACCTGGTGAAGTGGCCAAAAACATTCATAGTTGTGTCTCATGCTAGAGAATTCTTGAACACAGTATTACTCTTCCTACTTGTTTTCAAGTTCATCCTAATATATTGTTGATTAATATAATGATTTTCTGTATCCAAACAGGATTTTTCTGTTTCTCTCTTTAAAATGTTGCTTTTATTTTCAGGTGGTTACTGACATTATTCATCTACAAGGACAAAAATTGATGGCCTACAAAGGAAATTATGATACCTTTGAGAAGACAAGGATGGAACAAATTAAGAACCAACAGAAAGCCGTTGAGGCAAATGAACGAGCAAGATCTCACATGCAGGTTTTCTCCATTGAACTATACATATACAACACTGCAATGATGCTGCATTGTCTTGTCTGATTATGTTCATCTTAATAAAATGGCTAAAATACTAAAAAGGCCCTTGAACTATTTCATTTTTCTTACATAAGTCCCTGTACTTTTATTGTATTCAAATAAGCCCTTATACTTTGATTTGTATCCAAATAAGCCCTTATTTCAAATGAAAGAATGATTTATGTTAAGGGCTTATTTAGGTACAAATTAAAAGTTTAAGGGCTTATTTGGATACAAATTAAAGGTTAAGGGTTTATTTGGGTGCAAAATAAAGACTAAGGATTTATTTGAATGCAATAAAATTATAAGGGCTTATTAAGTAGAGTTGTAAAGTTCAAGGGCTTTTTTATTATTTTAGCCTAATAAAATTAAGTGATTGCTATTCTTTTTGTTCATTTATGTTCTTTTAATTCCTCTTCTTGTTGTTTAATATTTCTGTAGAGTTGGTTAGTCATTCAGACCTTACTTCAACCTGTAATTAATTCTTCCTGTCCCTGGCTTTCACCCCCCCCCCTTTTTTAATACTATCATCCTACGCATAGTGAAAATGGCAAGTCTGCTTTTATCTATTTTCATACCACAGAAGGTATATGGTATTTATAAATCTCTGTCCAACTAAGTTGGCATACTAATGGTATTTCATTCATGGTTGCCAGTATAACCTTCATTTTCTATTTTTAAGTGAGTTTTTTTTTACTTTGGTTTTTATGATCAGGGTGCTCCTGTGAACAAGGGCAAGCCCTCTAAGCTATTTAAAAAAAGAAAAATATAAGTAACAGCAATTTTTCCTTTTTTGGCATGCTTTAAAGTGTAGTACCTTGTATTTGACATTTCAATTGTTTTTTTCTGCAGGCCTTTATTGATAAATTTAGGTATAATGCAAAGAGAGCATCCCTTGTTCAGTCCAGAATCAAGGTTATTGTTATAAATTATTTGGGATGATTTTAAAGTAGTTTCTAAAACCTTTATACTGCTATTGGTCTAGTTCTCTCTGTGGATATGCCTAAGCTGATTGGTTTCCGTTCCTTCTATAGGCATTGGAGCGGATGGAACATGTAGATGAAATTGTTAATGACCCTGAGTATATCTCCTTCAGTGCTTTAATCTTATCAATTTTAGATACTTGAATTTGCTTTCAGATCCCGTTGGAGTTTAGTTATTTACAGTTGAGTTGGCCAATTTTTTATGTAGTTACAAGTTTGAGTTTCCAACTCCTGATGATAGACCAGGGCCTCCTATCATAAGTTTCAGGTTTGTTTTTGGAGTTCCTTTGGAAGAATTCTGAAACTTTTCCAAGTGCCAATTTGGTGCTTCTTGACATTTTATGTTTCTTACTTTGTGGCTAAGGTTTTGACATCTGCCAACAACTTATTTTAAGTTCTATCAAGTTGAATCGTTCATGAAGTGTTTTAGATTGGCTGCTTATTGACCAGTATTGATGTTTCTTGAATTGTTTGCAGTGATGCATCATTTGGCTATCCTGGGGGGCCAACACTGTTCAGGAATCTCAATTTTGGTATAGATCTAGACAGCCGCATTGCAAGTAAGGATGATTGCTTCTTGAGTTTTTCCTTTTTAACTTTTCCATTATAGAGCCTCATTCAAGTTCCTTGATCTCTCTTTTTCCTACTCCTGACACAATGACATGGCACACCCTCAAAGAAAAAAAAAGAGAATGAAAGAAGGGTCTCTTTTTATTGTATGCTTATCAAAAAATGTTCATAACCTGTGTAACATACTTGTAGCAAAACTAGATGAAGACATCATTCCAATTTATGGCCTCTTAACCAATCATGGACATTCAAGAAATTAGTGCCTTTGCTGTCATGATTTAGATAATGAACCATTTATCTGGTTTATTTTTTCCTCCTATTTTCACCATATCTATGTTCGTGTATCATTTTGCAGTGGTTGGTCCAAATGGGATCGGTAAGTCAACAATACTAAAACTAATTGCTGGGGAACTACAACCAACCTCTGGGACGGTTTTTCGTTCAGCTAAGGTATCTTAAACCTTCCATTTCCTATAATTAAATTTGTTTATGTTACATATTTTTTTAGTCCAGTCACCACTAGTGAATCACAATTCTAATACTGTTGCTTGTTTTCTCTTGCAATGCGCTTGAAAGTTTTCCTTCTGGATTATGTTATATTTTGCTTTGTGGAGTTGAGGGTTTAACTAGTTTAATCATATAATTTGACCATAATTATGTTGTATTGTCTCTGGAGTCTCTCAATCAGAGACCTATTCCTATAATTTGACTATAAATACTTAATTTGTTCTCCTTATTCATCATCACTTATTTAATCATATCCTCTTTAATAATATCTGATACCATACTGCTTCCAGTAATGGAAATTGGGGTGTGTGCTCTATATTTAGGTTTTTTAAGGCCCTTTCTCTCTCTTTCTCTTCTGTATTTTCAGATCTAACTACTAACCATAATTTCTTCTGAGTTGCAGCATATAGAGATCTGTCCTGTACCACATACATTACTAATCTTCTCTCCTTATTGACCTGCATTGTAATCGGTTTTGGACTCCCTTTATTTCATAATATTGGATTATCTTTAAATTTAGATTGTCCCAAAATGTTAGGACAAACCATTAATTATTTATCCACATTTAGACCCTGCACTTTATCATAAATTACTCCTTCCTTTGATTGAATGTTGTGCTTGACAGCGGATGCAATTTTAGGGAAACACTCAAACGAGTGTATGCTGTGCAACCTTTTCTTTTTCTAATGAAGAAAATTTAAAATTCTCCAATGATATCAATCTTTAAGGGTGTTTAGACTAAAAAAGTTTTGAAAAAAGAAATATGGCTAATGAAAGATTATACTATTGAAAAGTAGCATTCCTTTGGATTTTAATTATAAGGGGATTAAGATATTTGAAATTGGATGAAGTACTAATATAGATAAAGTACAGTGAAATACACTCCTTACAATTTTTGCATTTTTAAAGGGGGCCGGCATTATGTGACGTAAGGATTAACAACAAACTGTTCACCTTAGTAAAAGCTTGTAATGGTTTTAATACATGTTAGGCTGAAGGAGACTGACATTATTATATCAACAGGTTCGCATTGCTGTATTTAGTCAACACCATGTTGATGGGCTAGACCTGTCTTCAAATCCTCTACTATATATGATGCGCTGCTATCCGGTAAGTTCTTGTGTTTTTCTTGGTCCTTATGTGTGATTCGAGAACTATGTCCAGTGCTTTAAGGGCCTTCATGGCAGTCTTTCTTTATTTCCTTCTTATTTTTGGTTGCTCTTGTTGTTGTGCTTTAAGTAACTTCGTGTAGTTAAATCCTTTGTTTGATGTTTCCATCTTGCAGGGAGTGCCGGAACAAAAGCTTCGTGGCCACTTGGGTTCTTTTGGTGTTACAGGAAATCTTGCTCTGCAGCCAATGTATACTTTGTCTGGTATGTTTACTTTCTTATGCTAGGATGTGATTGATAATTTAAAGTATGTTTTTTAATTGATATCTAGTGATGGGACTAAACTTTGGCTCTAAAAAGGTTTTTATACTGGCTGATTGAAGGCCTACGTGAAAAGTAACAGAATGCTGTTTCTTGATGTTGTTAAAGAGTCAGTCTTATTAATAGCCAAGGATTTTGAATTACCATATATGCATATGTGTGTACGTATGTGCATACATGTTTCTAATTGCTTTGATTGCCAATGCTAGGTGGTCAAAAAAGCAGAGTTGCTTTTGCAAAGATAACTTTCAAGAAACCACACATAATATTGCTTGATGAGCCATCCAATCATCTTGTAAGTCATAACTTTTTCTTCTTTCTTGATTTTAAGACATGGTTGAGTCTTCATTAATTCAAAGTTTTGCTTGGAAAGTTTTATAACCACTTAGTGCTATGACAATTGACTCTGGTATTTGATTTTGATAATGGTATTAAAATTAGGATTTAGATGCTGTGGAGGCACTAATTCAAGGCCTTGTTTTGTTCCAAGGAGGGATTTTGATGGTATCAGTCCTGTTCTCCTTGTCATTTTAATTAGTACAATAAATAAATATTTAAGATTATATTGCTCCTTTTTTTTTTTAACTTCTGGGTTGGAATTGTGTGTGTTCTTCCTGCAGGTTAGTCATGATGAACATCTGATATCTGGAAGTGTAGACGAACTATGGGTGGTGTCCGCAGGCAAGGTTAACCCTTTCCATGGCACTTTCCAGGACTACAAGAAGATACTCCAGTCCGCTTCCTAAAAGTATTATCCTGTTGGAGCATACCCTCTGATATCAAGATGGATTTCAAGATTAAGTTACTCCTAGACTAGAAGACCATGCTTCCAGGATTAAAGGAAATCTTTCCTTTTTTTTTGGAAAAAGTTTTTTTGTTCAAAGCACTGAAGAGGATTTCTGAGTATGGAATTTTAACTGAAAAATATAATTATGTTGTCTTTCTACAATCTGATGGATAAAGCTGATTTGTTTTAAAAAAAACATTTTTTTTCCAAATATATCAAAACTGAAAGTCGTTTATTATCGTCAAAAATTTTTTCAAATATGTCAAAAGCTAAAAAATTCAAAAGATAGATTGTCCTATACATTCTGCCACAGGTCCAGTCCAGCAACAACGAGAGAGTATCAAACGAACAGACCAGAGCCAAGAGGCTTGCCCTGAAAAAAATTTGCGTCAGGAAGACACCCCTGGAGCATCTCAGAACTCTGCTTTTCTGCAATGCAATTATGTTTCTTCTCCAAGGCATATAGTTCGGCCTTTAATTTCAACATTCTCTCTTCCATGCTCTTTAGCTCCTGCTTGTTCCGTGAACCGAAGTATGTGCGAGCAATTTTCTTTAAGTGCTCAATGGCAAAGCTCCCTTTGAAGCCAATGCTCAAACAACTATTGATTGCATCTTTCCATAAAATCATTTTTTCCAGGTCGATCTCTTCAAGTCTCAGTTCATTCATCTCTCTGATCACAGAGCAAAACAGAATGTAGGAATCTGATTACAGGAATACTCTGATTGCTCTCTGCAGTGATATCTCTGTAGGCCTTCTTTAGGGTCTCATGGACAGGAACAAGAGAAGGTGGTAAATTCAGTCTCCCACTTTTTTCCAATTCTTCTGTTAATCCTTTGAAGTCTGGAAAGTGCACTCTACTCTTCTCATTGTCATCAAGTTTCTCAACAAAATCTTGAACAAACTCATCACTGTACTGTTTATCAGTATGAGAACTCTCTGACCCATGATTAAAAGACTCAAGCATTGCCTGAATCTGAAACATTGGGAGGGAGTGAGAGAAGAATCACAATTGTATAAGAAGACTAACACTCAAGAAAGTGTTAAGAGTAAAACATAGTTAAATGAACACGTATCAAGTCATTAATAGAGTTTAAAATAAATAATCCAATTGCTGTGTCTCTTCAATAAAACGAAAAAGCAATGAGAGAGATGTAGAACAGTAAGTAAACAAGGATGAATAATTTCATATGATAAATCTCCCTTTTACAAGGGGAAAGATAATTTAAGAAAAGCAAGGACTATTACATTATTTAGAAAAGTAATACAATGTGAGATAAATTTTACCTTGAATTGCCATTGAGAAATACAATTTCCTCTCTCTGCTTCCTCTGTTTCCTACCAAATACAAATTCAGAAGAAAAAAAAAAGGGGAATTAGGGATGCTATTGGATATATGAGAGTTTATTCAGCTAACAATATTTCTACCAAAGCAATAGACAGATAAATCATAGAAGCAATACATATTGACCAACAATGTTGTCTAATTCTTGTATCTTTCTTGCCAGATACGGCTCGATATCTGTCAACCTTTTGCTCTCCTCTGCTAACTGGAAAACAATGTTTTTTACTGCCATGAATTTGACCTGCAATTCGCCCAACACAGGAGCTATTTCCTGGGACTTGGCCTCCACGTTCCGAAGTCTCTTCAACTCCAACTTTATTTATCTGCAAGATGGAAAGCAAACCAGAATGAATTAAAGATACAATTAAAATCCTGGAAAACCAAAATTCATAATGATATGGTAATATTAAGCACATAGTTTTATGTACGTTATGCTCTCGCCTGCGTCGTCGATCACGCTCGTTCTTTGCACTTCTTTGAGCCGGACTTAGAGGACGTCTTCGAACCATAGCGTCGTGATTCAGTAGCTTCTTGGTTTGGTTTTGAACCTCTAAATTTTCTGTCTGAGAGCCGCTGCCTGCAATTGAAATTTAGATTCAAAAGACGATTTTCAGGGCAAGCGACTCTACTTGTTTGATAATCCGAAGACTCTCCAGTTTTTTTCTTTTTTTTTTATTTTCTCAGTTTTAAGACGGGCGAGGGTCGTTGACTAGTTACCTGAGCCAAGGTAATATCTCTTGTTATATGAGCAAAAGCTTGCAGAATCTAAAACTGCTCTTGCAGGACTACGAAAGTTATCAGTAAATTACAATTAGATGGTAAATGTGAGGTAGCCAAACTTCAATAATTGGGTAGCGCGCGCGCGCTCAGCTTATCCTCAAGTGTTCTACAACTCATTTTTTCTACAAAATTTTCTCTTTCAAATAGGTTAGCTGTTTATGACTTTGACATTTCTTTTTTTTTTCCCTTAAAAATTTGTCGTTCGTGCCCTCGCGCGACTCTGATTTCTATGTTGCGCCCGTTCATACAATATTATAGTAATATACTTTTCTACTGTTTGAGTGTGATAGTGATATATATTATATTACACTATACACTAAAATTGAATATAGATTTACTGTTAATTCTTTAGTAAAGATAAATAATATAAATTTTTACAATTATTCTTAATAAGTGATATTAAACAGATTTAAAATTTAAAAGTCATTACCTACAATCTCTTCATTTATTATTAAAATATAATTTTTTTATAAAAAAGTAATTTAGATGAAAATATAACTCCCTTATCCATTAAATTGTGTGATATAATAGGATATCTACTAATTTAATTTGATTATATTTGAATATATATAAAAAAAATTTTACACTACTAGAGTTTTTTTTTTTTTGTCAATTTTGAAGGCATATATCACAAATTTTGATGATTGATTTATGATTTTGATTTTAGAAAATATAATGATTAAAATAAAATTTAAAAAATCTTGAGCCAACTATTATAATAATCACAAATTCAAAATCATAAATAACCAATAAAATATTCATTGCATGTCAATAATTTTGCGCGATCATTCTTGCTTATATATTTATATATGTTTAAGAGGGAATACATCACAGTGTATGTATGTTAGGCATTGCAAATATAATTAGTAAATAAAGATTGATATAATAAGTAGAAATCAACCAAAGCTTTTAGGCGTTTTTTTAGGTTTAAAAGCTATACAAACTTTCCCCCTATTAATGTAAGTTAGCAGATAACAAAGGGTAATTTAATCATTTTAATTGAGCTAACGTGTTAGGTTAACCTAAATTCATGAGTCCACGTTAGCTCGATCACCTTGATAATTTACATGTTGGACTTCTAAGATGCTCACTTATTACATCTTCAGTGGATAGTCAACTCCCAGCTTAGCTCAAGTTTACCAAGTCATTTCTAACCCTTAAGGCTAACCTCAAGCACCTAGGTTGCTCCAAATCTCCTATTTCACAAGTATCAATAATATTATTCAAGTACCTTTTAGGCATTTTGCTTTTATCATTTTCTTTTGATCTCTTTTTCTGTTTTATTTCTAGGCTGACCACTAACTTAAACATCGAAGCACAAACACTAGGACCACCGCCAGCCTTTGTTATTAATCGTTATTTTTCTCTTGTGATTTCAAGATTTTACCTTTCTAAGACAACTCAACACAAACATGTGGTGCGCCAAGTAGGGGAATTCTTTATATAGCTAAGCTAAAGATGCTACATAGAAAAAGAGCCACTAGGAAAAGAGAAATGGTTATTGCTACAACAGATACTTTATTAGACATTTTATTTTATTTGGGGATTTTTTTAAATTCATTGAGCTTTGAATTTTAATTTGATTGTGCAATTGGGCTTTAATTGGAAAAGTAAATTTTGGTCCCAAAGATTAAGCCTTAAATTTTTTTTAGTTTAATTTTTGTTTTTTTTTTAGTCAAAAGAGTCAAAATTAATTGGAAAAAAATGGGATTTTGCATAAAAATCTTGGATTCAATTCAACTCTTGGATTCTATCTTAGATTTTAACTCTAATGGTTGAATAATTTTAGAAAAACTTGAGACTCAATCTATTGAAAAATGGAAGATTACATAAAAAATAAAATTCGGAGAGAAATCGTAGATTTGATTGAATTAATTTCTTACAAATCAAAAGAGATTCAATCCCTACAACAATTCCTTCAAGATCAAATAGAGATCATTGAAAAGAGAAAAAATTTAGGCAAAGTTTTAAATCAATAAGGAAAAAGCATTCAAGCAAAAAAATTTTGTAAGAAGATCCAGTTGGAGTTTTTGGAATGAAGGTTAAGATTTATAAAAAAAGTATCAGTTTTTAAAAGAGAAAAAATTGTTGGAACCCATTGAGGTAATGTTTGTTTTTTTTTTTTTTTGTGATTTTTGCATTACTATTATAATATTTAATTGCTTACTCTTATTTTTATATTTATTGCATGATATTTATTTTTTCATGAATTTGCATGACTAATATTATCTTTGCATAATAATTTATTTGTCTAATATATTTATTTGCATGATTGGTATATTTATTTGTGTGATTTATTAATATATTTGCGTGATTACTAATATATTTATTTGTATAATTATATTCAATTTGATTGCATGATTATTAATATATTTAATTACTTGATTATTAATATATTTATTTGCATGATTATATATTTAATTGTATGTTTACTTGCATGATTTTATGTATTGTTAGTTGCATGATTATATATTTAATTGCATATTTATTTTCATGTTTATATATATTTATTTGCATGATTATATATTTAATTACATTTTATTTGCATGATTTACATTGTTAATTGCATGATTATTAATTTATTTATATGTGTGATTATATGATTATTAGTATATTTATTTGCATAGTTATTTATTTATTTATTATTATTATTGCATGATTTTATATTTATTGCATGATTAATATTATATTTAAATGATATTTAATTGCATGTTTCTATATTTATTGTGTGCATAATTGCATGATTATACATAATTACTAATATATTTGTGTGATTATATTTGATTTCATAATTATATATTTGCATGAATGGTTATTAATCTATTTGCATGGTATTTTATATTATTGCATGATAATATATTTACATGATTGTTATTCTTGCATGATAATTAATATACTTGCATGACATTCTTACATGAATATTTTAGTATGATTTAGGCATGATATTATTACATGATATTTGGTATGATTTATAGTATTATATTGGCATGATAATTTTTGCATGATATGATTTAATATTTATTGCATGATTGCTTGATTCATCTATATTTTTATAGAATTTTTGTATCATCATATTTTGTAAATAAATAAAAAGATTGAAATTAATTTTAATTTGCATGATAAAATTTTTTGTGATAAAACTTAATTTAAATAACATATAATTAATTTGGTACCAAATTTGGGCGTAAATGGGTGCTAATACCTTTCCTACACATAACTACCTCCCGAACCTTAGTTTTGATAATATAGACCAGAACCTATTCTTTTTAAAGACCTTTAGTTTACACTTAGAATAACCTTAAAAATAATATATTCATATAGGTGATCGATTATACTTAGGTAAAAAAGATTTGTGACGATTCTGTGATTTTTGTGTCTAATAAGTTGGTTTCCTAATCTAGACATTATGACACCTTGTTTAGCCAACCCAACCCAAATCGACTTGCAGTGGTAGGTCCCATCATGGAGCAATTCCAAGCTTTGACCCAATAACTTCAATCTCTAAAAAAAATTATCAAAAGCCTTACCCCACCTCAAAATTCAAAAGCACCTAACCCGACCACTCTAAAAAATCCATATGTCTAAAAATTACTAAGTTACAATGACACTATAGCTCATGAACATCAGATGATGAGCAAAAAACAACATCAATGACCCACTACCCTACACATACCTCAATACAAGCCATTACCTCAAAATCTAAAGAAGCTACCTTAAAACCTTAACCGAACAAAGACTTCGAAGCTCAGATGGAGGCCATAAAGAAAAAGTTGAAGAATAAAGCCTTCTCCTTCGATGAAAATTAAGATTCTTTGAAACCTTTCCCTTCACTATAAATATTGACCAAGCCATGACTCCAAAAAAAGATACTAACCTTAGAGACCTATGATGATACATCTACTTTTGATCATTTGAAACTTTATTAAACTAACATGATGATGCAAGGAGATGATGAAGCCTTGATGTGCAAAAGACAAGTTGCTACATTGAAGGGGGCCACTCGATTATGGTATTGCAATTTGAAATCGAGGTCGATCATAACCTTCAAATGTCTCAGTCATTCTTTCCTTTCCAGGTTCGTTAGTAGCTGACAAACTAAGAAAACTACATTAAGCCTAATGTCGATCTACTTAGGCCAAAATGAATCCCTGAAAGAGTATGTTAAGTATTTTAACACAAAGGTTTTTCATATTAAAAACTTAGAGCAAGCTGCTACAGTCACCTCTCTGACCAATGGATTAAGTGACAAAGAATACCATTTCAAGCTTATTTTCTCCTTAGAGCCACCAAAAACTTTGGTCAATGTTTAACTCATCATCGAAAAGTACATCAATGTTGAAGCTATAAAAAAAGTAACCAAGGTGAGAGAGGCTCATCATTTCTTCTCGATTCATAAAAAGGAAAAAAAATCTACGATCCCCTAAAAAAAAACAATGGGGTATTTAAGACTAAAAGCCCAATTTGATGACATGATAATTACACTGTACTTAATACTTTATGAAAGAAGATTTTGATACGCATTGAAAGAGACTTTGAGCTCAGATGATCAAAGCCATCGAGGTAAAACATTAAAAGAGATTCGGCCAAAAGATTTGCTTTTCACAGAGACTACGACCATAACACTGAGGATTGATCAACCTAAATAATGAGATTGAGAATCTAATTAGAATAGGTTGATTGGACATGTTTATGAATTGAAAAAACAAGAATAGAAGAGAGAAGATTTCAAAAGAAATGATAAAAAAGAAATGATATGAAGGAATTAAGAAAACATATGAAGAGAAAGAAACCGATGTGGTAATAATAAAAAAACCAAGCAGCAAAAAGATGAAAAGAATAATATGGACAACAAACCTATCATAGGCATAATAAATATGATCACTAGAGAGACTTCAACATCAACAAAAAAAAAATTTGATCAGAGGATAGTAATGGCCATTAGATCATCGACAAAGAAACAAAAAAGCTGAAAGAACAAGCTAATCTATTTTACTTTGAAAGATTTGGAA